GTCATGGGGCTCGTGTCGATTCCAAAATTAGAGCCTTCAAGATGGTTTGTCGTAGACACACATCATGTTGATTGGAATTTATATTTGAATACACTCTTTTGGAACCTAAACTATTGGGACTCAATTAGTACACTTGCTGGAGAGGTAGACAACCCTAAGAGAACTCTCCCAAAAGCCTTGTTTTATGCTTTGATCTTGGTGGTTCTTGGGTATTTCTTTCCGCTATTAGGCACAGGTGCCCTTCCCCTTGATCGTGAATTGTGGAGTGATGGTTATTTCTCGGACATTGCTAAAATTATTGGTGGAGTTTGGTTGAGATGGTGGATCCAAGCAGCTGCAGCAATGTCGAATATGGGGATGTTTGTGGCTGAGAGAGCAGTGACTCTTTCCAACTTTTGGGAATGGCAGACGCGGATGCTACCAGAGTTCTTTAGCAAGAGGTCTCGCTATGGAACTCCTCTAATCGGGATCTTATTTTCAGCTTCAGGCGTCTTATTGTTGTCATGGTTGAGCTTTCAAGAGATTGTAGCTGCAGAGAACTTCTTGTATTGTTTCGGGATGATTTTGGAGTTCATAGCATTTGTAAGGTAAGGATGAAATATCCAGCTGCATCGCGACCTTACAAAATACCCTTGGGGACGGTCGGCTCGATCCTGATGTGCATTCCTCCAACCATATTGATTTGTGTTGTGTTGGCTCTTTCTTCACTCAAAGTTGCAGTGATTAGCCTTGTGGCTGTCGTAATCGGGCTCGTGATGCAACCCGGTCTAAAGTACGTCGAGAAAAGAAGATGGTTCAAGTTCTCTACTAGTGAAAACCTTCACGACTTAAACGTTTCTGGTGACGACGACACCGATCACGTAGTAAGATGACATTAACACTCCAAGGTAAAGTTGTTGGTTGATTCCCCAGGCCTTAACCTTCATTAGAAAGCTTTTTAATTTTTGGAAAAGTTGATGTTCTATCTTATTAACGTTAATCGTCGTTGCATTTAGAGTGTTGGTAGATGAATTTCTTTGAATTAGAAACAAATGCCAATTTGTTGCATATCTCAAATCATTCCAACTATGACTTTGTTTTTATCTGGAAAAAAATTACGACTTTGTTACTTACTGATTTCCCTTTGATCAAAACAAGCAAACAAAAGTAGTGGCTTGTTTCTTTTACCATCATTACTGGGTTTTAACTTTATATAGAGAGGAATTCATTGAGTGACATCAATGGTTAAAGAGAGTGTTGTTCATCTTTGAAGTCTTAGGCTCAGGCAGCTGCATCTGTAGGGAGTGTGCGTTGTCAATTACTAAGAAAAGTTCCAAATAGGACCCAGGCTATTAAGAGAAGAGATGAATGACTAAGAAAAGTTCTAAATAGATACTAACCTAGACTATTAAGAGAAGAGATGAAAGTTATGCTAGTAAATTTGACTAGCGTAGAGAAAGATTTTTATCCATTATCAAGGGTTTTACTCATGAACAAGTGGTTATAAGATGGTATCTAATTAGAATATATTTTAGCTAATAGTAACGTAAACACCTTGCAAACGCAACTGCTCAAATCTAAATTACTCAATGTGGTTTTTAGTGTCCACCTAATATGTTTCGGAAGAATGATTTTTTTTCTATTTATAAACAAAAAAGAAAAAAAATCTAGTACAATTTATAAATGAGTGGACGCCCCTTCTTGCGGTGCATCAAATGCAATTAAAGGTGTGTGGAACAAATATTTGTTTATAGGCATGACTTATTTTGATTAAGGTGTCCGCTATACTATTATGCTTCTTTTGGTTAGTCGAGTTTGTACCTCAATTTTCTTGCAAGAGCATATCCACAAGGACATGTTCTTATAGTGAGTGTACACACTATTTTCATTACTTGAGCATTGCCCACTTCTACTTCAAGTTTACGGATATTTAAACTTCGAGCATGATAAATGATCTCATGGATTGCCCATAATTCGACTAAAAGGATCAAACAACTACCCTAACTCTTAAAGAAACCGAAAGTCCAATTTTCATATTCATCCCTCTTTGCTCCTCCCATAGATGCAGCCTGAGTTTTACCATAAACTCTTAAAGATATCGATAACATTCTTTAATGAGTTATTAAACTATTTTGGTTATTAATTATATACATTTTATACATTTGCAAGTTCATCAACTACAAAAAGAAAAAAAAATCTCCTTAGTAATTGCATGGCAAAATGGAAAAAATTCTAACCAAACCAAGCATATATATAAAATAAATGGAAGTTTGTGTAACCTAACAATGGCAGTGCTTAATCTGTTACACCAATACGTAATTAGTAAAAATGTTAGCCCACCAACCTCAAAAGAAACACTCTCATTCTAACCAATATATAATCATTTAACTTAGAACCTTGGTTTTGTCATATAATTACTTTTTGAAAAATATTATTTATCAGTTTTAAAAGGTAAGACTGATCATGTAAGTTGTTTGGAGAAAAATTGGCTCACGTAGGATGATGAAAAAAATTATATTTTAAAATAGAGTATCTGTTACAGTGTTGATTAGAAGTTGTCCTAATTATCGAATATTTTTAGAAAGTGTTCAGAAAGATACGACTTCTGTTTTGTTACTGAAATAAATTTAGTATTCTGATTGCATGCAACCATGTATGTAGTAGTCTACACATCTTACTATTAATACTGTAGTAAACACTCTAATCTCAAAAATTAATTTATCCATAGAGTTAATTTTTTTTATCAAATTATCTCATCAATTTTGACGTTTTAAAATTATAATCTCATACTTACAAAAAATATTTTTAAATTTAATTTCTTTCATGTATGTTTCTTTAATATGTAAATAAAATTCACTCATAAACAGTAATGGATTTAAAAATTTTAAAAATAAGATTCCAAATTTTTAATTCTTTTTGAAAATGAGTATGTAATTTTTTTCTATTTTTCTCTCCTCGCTTAATAAACTAAACTAAATTTAATAGAATTTTTAAAATAATGAGCATATAATTGTTTCTCTTCGGGCTTATTATATCCGTCTTGCTCATAAATAATAATAACTTATAGATTATCAAGAAAGTAATTAATAATAATAACTATTATACTTTTTTGGATAGTCTAGGGTGATTACAAAGTTGTATATGTTCATAATCTTTTTAAATCATTAACGACACACATCTTAGAGACACAACTCCTTGAACATGTGATTTCTAAGGAAAATAACACTTTTTTGATCACTGAAATACTTAATGAGTTCAATAACAATGTTATATTTAATGCAATGCTAACGAAGATTTTAGACTTTAGGTTAGAAGTATCATGTATGGACACATGATTTTATATTAGATATAAATCTATAAAATTTTATAAACAAAAACATATTATCAATAAAAAAAATTTACGGTCATTTCCCTTGATTCATTCATAGGATTGATGACACATGCCTTAAATTATATATATATATATATATATATATATTTCTCATTTTCATTTTTTAATCTCCACTTCAAATTTTCGTTATACAAAATTTTATGCTAACCTTAAAAATGAATGTCCTTAAATAAATGTCCATTTCAAAGATTAAATTAATTAAGATGATTTTTCTTTTAAAATATTTTTTTCACGACACGATCAACTTGTATCTTATTTCAATTATTTATTTTTTTGATCAGTACTAACAGATGTTTTGCTGTAGTATCATTATATTTTCACTAAATCATGAACTTTTTAGTAATCAAAATTTTATATTTTCGTTAAATTTTGAGATGAATAATAATTTATTTTGTTAAAATTTATAAAAAATATAAAATAAAATTTATAATCATTATATTAATAAATAAATCATTAAGGTGCAAGTAATAAAAATTATTAATTAGACTTAAAGTTTAATTGGATAAAAGACCAAATTAATTAAAATAATAATAATCTATAATCTTAGATTACATATGAAATGGGATATTATGAATTTATACCTATATTATATTCTATCTATAATATTAGATTACGATCTGTTCATAATATTCATAAATCAAACACCTTAATCTCATACTAAAACCGAAGATTATAATTTATAAACTTATATAAGGAAGTTATTTAATAAACTATAAAATTTGAGTTGTGCATTTTTAGTATTAAATTTTACAAGTACTCAATGCATATTATAAATCTGGTTGATATATTAGTAAAAGTTACATAGTTAATCTTGATTTCTAATATAATATTTTATATTATTTTGAATAATTTTAGATAAAAATTAAATATAATAATTTTAAAAATCATGTTTAATAAAAAATAGTTTTAATATAATTAAAATTAAAATAAAATCAACATAATATTGTTAACATTAAATGATAAATAAGTACCTATCTAATATCATATTCCACATTTTTAAACAGAACTTGTATTAGTTAAAAATTGAATGTCATTATCACATTTATTTGAAAAATTAATTATGGAAAATAATGAACCTTATCAAAAAACATATTTTTTTACATTGGCCCGGTATTAATTACTATATTAAATTTAATAAATGATTTTTTTTATAGAAAACACATTTTATCCTATTACTCTTAAGAATATTATATATAAGCTCACAATTGCAAAATTAATACTAAACCTAAAATTTTAATGCATGTTCTTCTGAGCTCGGTTTTTCAAATGTTTAAAATAATAATTTTACAGAAAACAACCATAAGACTGATTAATTAGAGAATTATGGTCGCTGGGAACATTTGGTACGATCAAAACGATCCCTATGAAATAAAAGTATTGAGCAAATCTCATTTTGGTTTCAAATAATCACAAAGGATAAAAAAACAATTTCATAATTGATTGAAATGAGTAAAAATCATAATAAAATATTGCTGGTCTGTAAAAGTAGAATATTATTATCTAAAATAATGCGTATTTTTTTAAAAATTCTTTCAAAAAAATTATTTCTAATTGTATCCAAACATGCTTTGTTTTGTTATAATCGTGCAATTGCAAGTGTTGAAACAACAAAAAGAATTAATGCCCCAGAGATGTACTCTAATTATCATGAACGAGTAAAGTAATCAGGAGAAGCAAGTACCGAGACTCGGTGAAAAGGCCGCTTCTTCATCGCCTCCGCCTCCTCTTCTTCCTGCGCCTTTCACTTTCATCAGAGCTTGATGAATGCGACTTTGACTTTGAACGAGCACTTTTTCTATCGTATGAACTCGTGCTCCCAGAATCATCACCGGATTCTGATTCTGATTCTGATGGTGGCTTCTGTTGTTGCATGATAAGTCTGGGCATGTTCTTCAAATACTCGCGTAAATTCTCAGTGATACCACCAAGCCCAATGGAAGTGAAAAAGTTAATGGAAAACCGTGTGTTCTTGGGATTATCCCTTGGGAAAATAGATTCGAACGAGTCCTGCATTCTGGGATCTAGGAGCCGCTCATTCAGTCTGCGGATTCCAAGATGCTCCGACAGTTCCTATACCATTACCAAGTATCAAAATCAACATAACAAAATTTTCCATATATATACATACATACACGGTACTTTAAAATATAATCGGTTAATATAAGATTAAAAAAATGATGTAATTGATTATAACCGAAAAATTTATAAATTACCAAGTAAATTTGGTAACATTTTAGGATGAAACCAAAAATATTATGTTCTCTATAATAAATCATATAAATTGCGTAATAATTCTGGTTACAACCTAAAAAATTACAGTCAAGAAACTCATGTAACTGAAACTATTACTAATTGTGTAACTTTTTAGAGTAGACACATTTTGGGTAAAATCCCGTTGCAATGTAAAGAGTAAACATATAACATTTTAGATTAAAATCTGTCACAAATTACCGTTAGATTTTCCTCCGTACAGCAGAACTCTCTCTCTCTCTATAGTAAACTAGTTCAAGTTTATTTCCAACCAACCGGTAGTTTTTGCTTTATATCATCCAAGTCCAGTTTGAAACCAACCAATTTCCCAAATGCACACACATAAATAAACTACAGCCAGCCAATAAAAATAGGGAAAGAAGCAGGTAAAAAAAAATATGCATGTATATGTTTTTAGCTTACCTGGAAGAGAATCTTAATGAAGATTCGGGAAGAAGAAGTAGTATCCTCCTCAGTTAAGCGTATATAGGCGAGAACATGCCAAGGCAGAGCATCTGTGCCAAGTAAATGTGCGAAGAACTTTGCCACATTACGTAATTTGTTTGTTTCAAGACGATGAATCATAGAATACTGCTGAACAAAGCATTTATCAAAATTTTCCTGATAGACTTTGTTGATCATGCAAAATCGTTGCCCCAGAAGACCGTAATACCGAAGGTAAGTTCTCTCCTGACTGCAGCATTCCAAGAGCATAACGCACAACTCCATCTGAAAAATCAAAATCAAAATCAAGGTAACAAGTTTCTCATAATGCAAATAAGAAACAAGAAAATCACTCCACTATAAATGAAAAGGAAAGCTATTAAGTTTTGTGAGGGTTAAAGGGTTAATGCATAAAGCAGAAAAGCCAGAAGGGAAATAGGCAAGACGAACACATATGGTTTGATCTATTACGTTACACTATCATGTTACCTCTTGCCCCGGCTCAAGCTTAATTTTGAGCAGCTTGTGGCCAGCCTCCTCAAAATCTACACTCGACATGATTGTCAGGTAGATTGTCCTTCGAAGATTTACAAGATTTGTCTCCGTCTCATCTTTTATTTTCATCTGATCATCTTCCGCATCACATTCATCATCCTCCTCTTCCTCATCATCATCATCACCTGAATCTGAACCCTCTTCATCTTCAGATTCCTCACCAAGGATGCTTTTCTTCAACTCTTCATATTGCTTTTCATTCTCCAAAAATTGAGGATCCGTTTTAAAAATGTCTGCAAGGAGGACAATAAAATGTATTCATGATATCATACCAGAAGGAATTAACCAAACAAAAAATGTAGCTGGAGACATTTTGGGACATACCAAGGGAGATTTCTGGATCGATCTCATCTTGGAGAGATATCTCATGAGTTAATTGGTCCTCTTGCTCAACAAGGTCTAGTTCTGGACGAACAGCAGGGTACCCCTGCAAATGCATACATGGAAAACAAAATTATAAGTTGTTCCTTTTGTTATATACAAAGGTACGTAACCTCTACAGGGCTTTGAAAAAGTTAAAATGAGTAGAAACACACCTGAAACTTGGCTTTCCTTATAGCAAATAACCCCTCTATAAGAAACTGAACGCGTTTATCTATCTCTCCTTCATGAAGAATACCCCTAAAACGCTCGAAAATACCTGTAAACACAACAGCCGACACTAACTGAAAAGGGGGGAAAATAAGTCATATAAGATAGATAGATACCACTGGACTACAATCACCCAAGCGGGGGGAGAGAGAGGGAAACAATCTGAACTTTCTTTATTAGATAAATTACATGAACATTACACAAATTTTCTATTATAATGCTTCAAGCTGTAGCCAATACAACAGAAATTAAGATGATTTTTTTATTTCAGATAAAGAAATTAAGATAATGAACTTCAAAAACATAAAGAACTAGGGACACAATTATAGTTTTTCCACTAACAATATTTTTTTAAAATTAGTAAACATTGAATTACTCTAAACTGGACTCGTATAAATGACCAGCATTAAAACCTTTAGGTTATCAACTAAATGAAGTTAATCTCAGTATGTTCTAGAAGCTGAAGAAGATAAAAGTGGCATTCGCAAGAAAAAAATTGAACAGCCATATTACATGTATGATTAACAAATGCAAGAGAATGCTTCTCAACATGCTAAAGTATCTAGGCAGTCCTTGTGACATAGTCCATGTACTATAGAACTGAGTAAAATTGATAGAAGTGCAAGGAAAACCATCTATAAACTGACCTAGACTCTTGAATCTAACAATACAAAGTACAAACCAGTAAATAGAACTAAAAACAGAAAAAGAATTCTTCCATGAGGAACATATGCTATTGAATCTAAACTAGCGTCAATAATACTATTGAATCTAAACTAGCGTCAATAATACTATTGAATCTAAACTAGAGTCAATCATAATACAGATAAGTAAAACTACTGCATTGAACTAGTATCAACCATATACTCATATGGATACACTCACCGTGGAGGCCTTTGGGTGAAACATCCTGAAGTAATGAGCCACATTCCGTGACAAAACCAACAGCCACCTCGACACTGTCATCAGTAGGGTTCTCCAGCAAAACTGTTAGCAGTTCTAAAGCAATAATCTCATGAGCCACTTGCTGGTTCACAAGATGTGCTATAAATTTAACAGTAGCTAATAATTGAGGCTGTCCAACAAAACAAATAGTCAGCAATTCATACAACCCAACAAAAAAAAAGTTTCCTTTGGTCAATCATAACTAAATCAATAGAAACAGGAAGGAAGGGGCAACTCCTCACCTTATCGTTCCGCTTATATGCTCTCTTCAGCTGTAAAACAATCCTTCTCAATAGTAAATCCCCCACCTCAGGAAACTTGGTGTTAACAACAGCCACCAATGCAGCAAAAACATCAGTGAAACCTGGGGATGCCATCTGAGATTTCATACATGAACGACAAAGGAGACCCCTTCCTCGAATAAGATTCTCAGCAAACAGTTCTGGAACAATGTTCTTTATATTAGTAGCATTGACTTTGTTAACAAGCCCATTGATACTTTTTTTAAGGGCATCCCACGTTAATCGTTGATACTCTACACTGCTCTTATCCTGCGTCTCTTTCAACATTCTTGCCAATTTAAATGGAGGAATATAAACCCCTCCACTCCTACCTAAATCGGCCCTATCACCATTCAAGTTAGTTTCTTGTGGAGCTGCTTGCTTCTGCTTGATTTCTCCTACCTTCTCCTTAAAACTATTTTCATCTCTGTTTCCAGTGTCTGGCTGACTATCATTCTCTATCTTATCACTTCTTTTCTCGCCTTCCTTACTTTTGCAAGACCTTCTTTGGCGATCCTCATTATCATCATCATCAGAATTATGCCGTGAATGACGATGCTGATCCCTATTTCTACGCCTATCATTTTCAGATTCCGGCAATCTACCATCACTTATATTCTCTCCTTCCGTACTTCTGTGGGACCTTCTACGGCGATCCTCATTACCATCATCATCCGAATCATGCCGCGAACGACAATGGTGATCCCTATTTCTATACCTATCATTTTCAGATTCTAGCTCCCAACCATCACTTATATTCTCTCCTTCGATTCTTCTGCGGGACCTTCTTCTTCGATCCTCGTCATCACTATCCGAATCATGCCGTGAGCGACGGCTATGATCCCTATTTCTATATCGATCATTTTCAGATTCCAGCCGTCTATCACTACGCCAATCCCTACATCCAATGTGATGCCTATTACTTCTATCCCTTTCACCCCTTTTAGCTCCGTTGTCCCTCTTCTCTTCTGATTCATCCGACCGTTCAGAATTCCCCTCCAATTTTCCTCTACGCCTATTCTCATCATCATCATCATAATCTCTAATTCTTTCTCGATCACGATTTCTACCCCTAACGGCATTCTTGTCATCATCTTCTTCTTTATCAGAAGATCGTGAACGCTTGCTCCGCCGATTCTCCTCATGATCACCGTGATTTCCTCCTCTTTCTCGTTTTCGTCTTTGCCTTTTGCGACGGTTACGATGTAGGTTTTTCTCGTCGCTCGAATTATGGTCACTGGATTCACTATTATGTTTTCTAGCCATTGTTTCGAAGGTAAAAAAAACCAATTATGGAAAAACTGCAATCTTCTGTCCCCTCGGGCCTCGACGCAGTGATGTTCGATAACGAATCAAATTAGTGTGGAAACTTGAAACCGCTCGAACTCAAATAAAAGCGGCAGAGGAAACGCTCTATTTGAAATATGGCAAGGGGACAGGGACAGGGACAGGGACAGGCTACTCCACCAAGGCCCGTGAGGATTTAATATAAACGTTTGTGTAAACTACACCATAGGTAATTCTATTATTAATAAGTTCCCAGGCAGTTGTTAATCCCTCTAGGACGCCCCATAATTCTGCCTCCAGTATTGACAATGTTCCCAGTGATTTGTGAATTCCTATCTTCCAGTATCCCTTCGCGTACTTATTTTATATATGGAGGAGTTGATATTTTTAAGTTTCATATCCTGGTATTAGAGGAGTTTTCTTTTCTTCGAATAAAACTAGCGATGTCAATGGGGCAAGTTTCATAAGGACTCATCCCACTTCATACTCAACTAGGCGAGGATGGTCACAATTTTAATAGGTGGTGGGATGATGATGGGGACAAAAAAGTAGACCCATCAGGGATGGTGGGATAAGTGATAAAGGTGAATATGATCAGTCACAAATGTAAAATATTGTCTAGCGACGAACTTTTAAAATTTTAAGAAAATATAAATTTATAAAATTTTAGGAAGGAACGAAAATATGTTTTCAATAAAAAATATATAAAAAAATATCTAAAATATATAATAACTGTAAAACTTTAGGGAGGCGATTGCTCCGCCAGATTAATCCCCGAGTATTATGTAAAAATTTTATTTTTTGGATTTTTAAATGCATATTTAAGTTTTATTTTAATTTACTAAATAAAAGGTCATGACAACTTATTATTACTTTTAAAATAATGATAGTTAGAATATTGTCACATATGTGGTGGGATATTGTTGATATAAAGTTAATTTAGGGTAAAGTATAGTAATGGTCACTTAACTTTTCTAAGCTTCATTTAGGTTCCTCAACTTTTAAAACTTGCTATAAAGTCTCCCAACATTTAGCCTGTTTGCAATATGGTCCCCCAACAGTTACATTGGGGACCATATTGCAAACATACTAAATGTTAGGGGACCATATTGTAAACGAATTAAATGTTAGGGGACTGTATTGTAAGTTTTTAAAGTTAGGGGACTTAAATGAAAGATTTAGAAAAGTTCAGTGACCATTACTATACTTTACCCTTAATTTATTTAAAATTTTATTTTTAATTTTACATTTCTTCAATTTTATCCTTAAATTTATATTTTTTTTCAAAATTGATCCATGATTTTTTTTGTAATTTACTCGAAATCATATACAATTACGACTTGAAATTCAACAATCACGAAAGATGACAAAATAATTAATCCAAAATTAAAAACGACCCGACCTGAACCTAATCCGTATCTGGTAAACATCCGACCTGAATTTTATCTATCAATGATGTGACCCGATCTGAACGAGATCCGATTGAAGTCCACCTGAACCTGAATTAATTGGTCTTTATCTGTTTCGAACCTGAACTGACATCGATCCGAACTGAAAATGAACCGACTTGAACCCGATATGGATTTGGTGTTAATCAACCTGAAAATAACCCGAATTGATTTGACATGTACTCGACCTGATCCGAGTCAAACTATCAAATTAAACTGACTTGACATATACCTGATTTTACAGCCTTAACTGACACATTCTTAAGTAGACACTCCACCATGCCGGCCTATTGAGGTCGCCCTCTAAGACCAAGGGTAAGGATGTTGTTTGGGTAAAATTATTGAATTCTTACATAATAAAGTTAATCACCAATACATTTTTAATCATTCGAATTATAATCGAATTTAATTTAATTATTAATTAAAATTTGAATAATCTAACAATCAATTATATAATACTCTAATTATATTTATACATAAAATATAAGATTAATTAATACTTGAATATGATATATTATAAAATAAAATATAAAATAAATAATAGGATAAAGTATAATAATGGTCACTGAACTTTTCTAAAGCTTTCATTTAGGTCCCCAACTTTTAAAACTTGTAATACAATCCCCCAACATTAGTTCATTTGCAATATGGCCCCCAACAGTTACGTTGGAGACCATATTATAAACGGATTAAATGTTGAGGGACCATATTGCAAACGAACTAAATGTTAGAGGATTGTATTACAAGTTTTAAAAGTTAAAGGACCTAAATGAAAGCTTCAGAAAAATTCAATGACCATTACTATACTTTACCCTTAATTTTACTAGGTATATTTTGAGATTTGTACATTTTCACATTGAATTTTGATGTGACATTTTGGTTTAATGACTTTTCGATTTTTGATATAATTCTTATGGATTTAAAAAATCTAACATTCTACGCAAATATCTTAATAATAATTCATTCCAAAAATTAATAATATATCTTTAAATTAAGAATGTTAAGATGCCATTTAAAAAGCGCTAAAACCTTTCTACATTATATTTAAATTATATTTTGATCAAATGATATCATTAAATTTATTTAAATTTCAAATTAAAAAAATCTATTGAATGATCTATGATAATTTTTTGTGAGGGTATAAATGTATAAGATATTATTTATTCATAATATTTTTAATCATTAACAATGCTCACACTTTGAAAATATAATTGTACTAATTTGAGATATCTAGAAATCCCTTTAACCACTTGAATAGTTCAACGAATTCAAAAACAAAACTAACTTTTTATCAATGAAAATTTCTATAATAATACGATATCAGTGATGATTTTAAATAAAAGAGATTTAGAGATAAATTAAATGTATGTAAGAAAAAATTGAAAATTATAAAATTTCTTTTTACAGTTAATAATTAATATTAGGGTAAAATATAGTAATGGTCACTGAGCTTTTCTAAAGCTTGCATTTAGATCACCTAACTTTTAAAATTTGTAATACAATCCTCCAACATTTAGTTCGTTTGCAATATGGTCTCAGACGTAACCGATCGTTTGACGCCATTAGTTCATTTGCAATATGGTCATTGAACTTTTCAGGCGCTTGCATTTAGGTCCCCCAACTTTAAAACTTGCAACACAATCCTCAATTTATTTCTAAACCCCAAATTTCTTTTCAATCTCGAATTTTCTTTTTCGCTTCTATCTTCTCATTTCCAGCGTAACTTTTCAGTCGCATATGCATGGGAAATTCTAATCTAACTTTGAATTATGTGGAGGTGTTGACTTGAATAAGGGTCCATTGAGAGAAGACCCGACTAAGAGACTATTGGGACCATCAACGATTCAAGGTGTAATGTTAGATACATGCCATCTCAAGTGAAACATAAATGTTCGATGAAATGTTTGTGAGAAAAAAAGGGGTTAGAAATGCAGAGTTGACAAATATTACTAAGATGAACTAAGTATCATTGTTGAAAGTCACCAACAAAGCTGGAATTATTTTGTATAAATGACATATAATAATTTCATCGTTTAATCCTTGTGGTTAATGATTTTCCAACAGATGATCAAATATAATGAAATCCTAAATAGCGCATTCACCTCTCAGTCTCTTTCGCTCACATGCACTATCATTTGGTTTTTTTCTTCCGTTTTTCGCCATGTAAAATTGTAAACCCAAGCATTGATGTCTTTCAGCTTTTTATTTACAAAGAAAAAATGGAGGAAGAATTACTGGAACGCAACACCGATTGCGTTTATTTCTTAGCCTCTCCCCTCACTTACAAGAAGGTATTTATTTTATCTTTTGAGTTATCCGGAAGTAAGCTTTTCCTCTTTCACACTTTCCCATTTTCATATCGCATTGTGTTTTTTATTGAAATTTTTATGTTTCTGGAACAGCATGTCAAGGATCTGGATATTCAGTGTTAGTTTTGAACCAAAACCATCTAATTTTATTTATTTCTTCTTAATCAAAACTTTTAGTACTCTTTATGAAAGATATTCAGTCCATCAGAATATAAGTGAAAGAGGATCCTAGGTTAATTTTTTTGATCTTCTTGTTTGGTTTTTCTTTAAATCAGGGATTTGGTTGAGAGTATCGACATAGTGAAATCATCAGGCTCAATCCGAGAGACTGCTAGTACTAGTTTACTGGGAATTATATTGATCCTACCTGTGATTTTCGGCGTCCTGTGAGCTCGTATTCTTTTTAATAAGTTCATATTGATTATGGGACTGATATATCATGAACAAATTGAATTTTTTTACATGTTTTGGAAATTTTACAATTGAATCTGAATTGAATTATATCTTTAGAAGACAATTTTGCATGCATCAACTCGAAAGGCATTTATGACAGGGTAGTATATTTGGAGCAGCTACTTGATATGTTGCCCGGTCATTGCACATTTTCATCTTCATTTATGTCATATTTATGTTTGTTGCAATGCCATTTATGTTTTACAATGTCTTTTATTGTTGACATGCTATGAATTTACAAGAATTATGTGATCTTATGATTTTAGTTAATCTACTTTAGATTCTCATCATGTTTGACTATTAAGGAACATTAAACATGGAGCATTAGAAGCAATTATATGTTAAAAGGGTAGACCATTAATGCATTTGCAACTGATAATGTTGTATTTGGCATCTAATGTCTATCTTAAACAACCCATTTGATGCCATAGCTTTTGGAGTGACTATGACCGAACTTCTTTCCATTTATTTATTAAGTCCTCATTTTGAATGAATTATTAATTGATATTCTTGGTTTATTTTAGTTATTACTTGGTTGTATGTTATAGTCCTATGAACTACAAATCTTTACTATTTTCGCAGCAGTTGGATGTGCATGCTCAAGTTCCATCCAGACCTATTGGATTGTCATACCAAAGTGCGACAGCTACAAACAAGACAAATTGGTCTTGTTACTTTTACTTCGACGGTTTATGCAATAACCGTGAAAGGTGTACTTTTCATGTTCAAAGCGCGACAACAGTTGGATGTGCACGCAATAAACCTCACA